TATTTGCAGATGACCTGATAGTACACATAGAAAATCCTAAAGACTCCACCAAAAAGCTATTAGAACAAATGAACAAGTTCAGTAAAGCTTTAGGACACAAAATCACTATACATAAGTCGGCTGTGTTTGGATACACTAACAACAAAATATCACAAAGAGAAGTTATGAAAACAATCCGATATACAATAGCATCAAAAATAATAAAATATTTAGGAATAGATTTAACCAAAGAGGTGAAACATCTATACACCGAAAACTATAAAACACTGATGGAAGAAGACACAAATAAATGGAAAGAGATTTTGTATTCATGAATAGGAATAATTAATATTGCTAAAATATCTATACTATGCACAGATATCCACAGAACGAAGGGAATCATAAAAATTCCAATGTCATTTTTCACAGAAATAGAAAACAAATCCTAAAATTTGTATGGAGCCATAAAAAACCCTAAATAGCCAAAGCAACCTTGATAAAGAAGAGCAAATCTGGAGCTATCACACTTCCTGATTTCAAACTATCTTCAAAAAATACATACTAAATATATGTATATTATATTATAGCAATCAAAAAAGTATGGTATTGGTTAAAAACAGACACATAGATCAATGGAACAATATAGAGAGCCCCAAAATAAACCCATGCATATATGGTCAATTAATATACACACATACAATGGAGTATTTATTCAGCCTTAAAAGGAAGGAAATCCTGCCATTTGTGACAACATGGATGAACCTGGAGGGCATTATGCTAGGTGAAATAAGCCAGACAGAAAAAGATAAATAGGGCTGAAATCATTTATATGTGGAATCTTAAAAAAAAAAAACAAAAAGTTGAACTTCTAGAAACAGAGTAGAATCGTGGTTGACAGGAGCTGAGGTGGGGAGTTGGGTGGAGGAGCTGGGGAGAGGCTGATAAAAGGGCACCAACTTTCAGTTATAAGATGAATAAAGCCTGAGGATCTAATGCACATTAATCACAACTGTAATTAACAATATTGTACTGTATGCTTTAAAGTTAAGAGAGTAGATCTTAAATGTTCTCACCAAAAAAAAAAAAAAAGTAAATATGTGAGCTGATGAATGTGTTAATTCGATGGTGGGAATCTTTTTACAATGTGTGTATGTATATGTATATAAATATACATAAAATCATGTTGCACACTTTAAATATTCTACAAGTTTTTATTTGTCAATTATATCTCAATAAAGCTGAAGGGAAAAAAAAAAAAAGAAATGAGTTGCAAAAACTGTGCAGCACCCTGGAAGGGCATCTGAGGTAATGAACATATCAGCTGTGATCTTACAGATAAATAACAAGAAAGGTCCTCCAAGAAAGCAGAAGAGGACTGCTTGCCAAATTGGACGTATATCAAGTGCTTCCTTTACCAAATAGGAGCTTTTGTTGAAATAGGCTGCATTCTCCACAATTCTATATTTTATATGCAGTCACCTTTAATTTATGCTACATACAACATACTACAAGGAGCCATAGCCAGATCTGATTAAAGCTTCATGTCACTCAGAGGTCCCGGATGAGATTTTGAGACAGATAATGTAACTGGATGAGACTTTGAAGTGGTCTTCTTTGGGAAAGGCAGGAAAGGTATTTCACACAGTATGTATGTATGGAGTGAAGAGTGTGTATGAATGTTGAAAAGTCAGTGAGCTGAGTACGACAAATTTTGTTAGCAGCTACTCAATGGAGAGTATCCTCTTCTTATCCTTATTTTGTTAGGGGCCACTATGTGCCAGACTCAAGAAACCTATCATGACTGATCTAAACCTTTGCTAGACACCTACTTTCCTAAACTCGCTTGCAACTATGGGTGACCAAGTAACCCAGTTCTGGTCAATGAGAATTAAGGGAAGGTGGGTGAGTGATTTTTGAAAATAATTTTGTTTCTTGAGGAAAGCTGCTGTACTGTCCTCCCCTCTTCTTCCTGCCTTGAATGCAGACATGATATGTGGAACCATAGGCGCCATCTTGAGACTATGAGGCAGTAAATGTGAAGACATATAAGAAAAAAAGACCAGGAAGACGCTATGTGTTGAAATGTGTCCCCCCCCACCCCATCCAAAGATATGTTGGAGTCCTAACCCCTAGTACTGTAAAATGTGACCTTATTTTGAAATAGGGTCTTTACAGAGGTAATCAAGTTAAAATGAGGTCACTAGGGTGGGCCCTAATTCAATTTGACCTTATAAAATGCTATTATATATCTGTATCTGTGTCATTATAAAAAGCAGAAAGTTGGGACACAGATACAGACACAGGGCAAAGGCAATGGGAAGATGAAGGCAGAGACTGGGGTGATGTAGCAGAAATCAAGGAACAGCAAGGATTGCCATCAAACCACAAGTGAGGAAGGGGGCAAGGAACAGATTCTCCCTCAGGGCCCTCGGAAGTAACCAACCCTGCTGATACCCTGATCTTGGACTTCCAGGCTTCAGAAATGTGCGACACCCAAAGCACTCTTAAGGAAGAAGAGCAAACCTTGGAGGTGTCATGCTCCCTGGTTTCAAACTATACTACAAAGCTATAGTAATCAAAACAGTACAGTACTGGCACAAAAAAAGATACACAGACCAAGGGAACAGAATAGAGAGCCCAGAAAAAAACCCACACTTATACGGGCGATTAATCTATGACAAAGGGGGCAAGAACAGACAATGGGGAAAAGACAGCTTCTTCAATAAATGAAACTAATATAATATTGTATGTTACCTATACTTCAATAAAAAGTATTTTAAGAATATAGAAAGTTAAAGGGAGAGTGCAAGAATGCAAGAGGAATTTTATTCTGCAATGAAATAAAAGAAAAAGTATGGAAAAAGAAAAGAGCTATGAGACAATACATTTGTTGTTTAAGTCACCCAGTTTGTGACACTTTGTTACTGTAGCTCTAGGACATGAATACAGGTGATGAAGCAGAAAAAGAGAAATAGTCTGGCCCTTGATAATATCCTTAAGCTTAGTAGCAAGCCCTAGAGCCACCTTCCTTCTAACTTCGCGTGTGAGGAAAATAAAAACCAAACCTTTTGGTCTGAGCTAGCATTAGTTTCATACTCTGTTACTTGAAAAATATAACAGATGACTTTTCAATCAGTCTTGAATAATAAATAGGGTTTTGACAGATATGGATAGGAGGAGATGAATGAGCAAAGTCACTGGCTAAAGGGGCCAGTGCAGCAGAGGTTCTATTCAGGGCACAGAGGTAGACAGCTGGACCACTGGTGTTAGGAGGAAGAGATAACGGATAACAAAGTGGAAATGTAACTGGAGCCAGGTTGTGGAAGGTGTTTAACAATATGCTAAGGTTTGTCTACTGTCAAGAGGCAATCAATACTGGAAGTTTTAATAGGAAAATAAAAGGATCAGAACTGAACTTGAATAGTAGAAGTAAGTAGTATGTACTGAAATAGTGAGAGAGTAGAGACAGAAAGATCCATATAAAAGATAACAGAGCTGCAATTAAAATAATGGAGGAGGATGTGGAAAAGAGGAGGTCAGGATGAGATACTAAAAAAAGTGGGCGTAGCAGGTAGGGCGCGAGGTAGTAAAATGACCGTTTTAGTCCCGAGTGTTGAGAGAATTGTAATCAAACACATTGGTATGACTTGGGAAACTCTAAAAACAGTGGCATCTAAGTTCCATCCCCAGAAACTCTTATTTATGGGGAGATGGGTGTGGAAGGGTTGTTGGGATATTACAATGAGGGTCATACCGGCTAATTTCAGAAGCAATACTCAACTGACATTATTGCATTTGTCCTATTTTAAATACAAACTTTTATGTCTTCACTCACTCAACAACTGGCACTGGATTACGATGGTGATAGAGATTGTTTGCCCTCAGGGCATTTACAATCTTTACCAAATGCGAGTTTTGGCTTAAATATAGCTCTAAATCTACTTTCTTGAGTATTTGTTTTCTATCAGAACAGAAAATCGAGACGGAAACATACAAATCTTCTGGTGGTCCTTATGAGATAAAAAATGCTTTATCCATTTTTATTTTTATTTTTTTTCTGTTTGAGTGAAAAAAGAGAGAAGGTCTTTTATGGGATAATGAAACAATGAGTAAGATAAGCTATTAAGAGGGAAGATTGTGATATCATAAGCTATAAAAGTAAATATATAAAAATAATCTATATAGATATTTTATATCATATAAATTATACTATATTAATATTTATAAATTAAGCTACATCTGAACAATAATTTCTGCTTTATATTTGATAAAAAGTAGATTTAAAAAATAGAACCTAATGGGTCCTAATATAATTGTTTTCCAGAAAAAATTCATTCAATAATTAATTCATATCGTTCCATACTTTAATGGTCTTTCTCAAGTGCAACCAGCTTCATAGGAGGCACATGGTATTGAGCCAAAATACACAACTTATTTCAGGTTTTCCAACAAAGATGTATTTAGAAATAGAATTAGCACCTAGAAATTCACCCCATAACTCGCCAAGCCACAGCTTTACTTTTTTGGAGTTATCTAGTAAATTAGTCTCTTCCTTTTGTTGCTAAATGCAAGTACTTTCTGGTCCCATCACAGCTCATGCTGGACAGGAGAAGAGGGTAGAGAATTCATGAGGAAAAGACTCACTCTTCATTTCAGTACCTTAGAAAGGGTTGTAGAAGGAAGGAAGTGAGGATGGATGAGTCGAAGGAGAGCTTGATGCTACTTAATGTAATGAAAATTTAAACGCTTTGAGATAATCTTATATATGACTTTCAGTAACACGTGAATTTCAAATTCTATTGCAAGTAAAATAAAAGAATGATTACTTAAAAACTTTTCTTTATATCTCTGTCATGGGTTTCATTTAAATTGTTCTTGGACTACTGTCCTTGGTATATGATGTTTACTCTTTTATAAGACAGATTTAAATTGAACCACCTTTACTAACAATAGCTACCAATTTCCCAAAAGGAAGATACAGAATAGCCCAACAAGATTATACAAATACCATGCATACTCACTCATGGTGATGAGAATCTGGAGAAAAATGAACCATTCTCTTGTTACTGACTGGGCCAGGAGTGGTCACCTGAAAGGAGATTTAAAACCAAAAACAGGTCACCGTTGAGTGTGTAAAAAGGCAGTGAATAACAGGGATGTTTTCATTTGAGGACATCCACTCTGAAATGGAGAATATAACGATTCTCAAAACCTAAGACACAACTGCATGGACCAAAAGATACTTTAATTCCTGGTAACAATGTGCTATTTGTTTTAGTCTAGCATAGTTCCTCAGCTAGAATTTTAAGACTATTTAAAAAGTACCTTCATAACAGAAAAAAAAAAAATCTTTCTTAAGAACTAGACCACTGACTCTCATTTCCAAATACTGTACAACTGCAAATATATTTAAATGTATATAAAAAAAGGTTTACTTAATTAGATTAGTGTTGAGAAGGTGATATTTCCTAGGACCAACGTGTTTGTAGTTAACTCCTAAATGTAAATAACATGTATTATAATGCACACGTTTTAAATGCATACAAATTAGGGGTTTGGGATTAAACTATACTCACTGCTGTATATAAAATAGATAAGCAACAAGGACCTGCTGTACAGCACAGGGCACTATATTCATTACCTTGTAATAACCTAGAATGAAAAAGAATCTGAAAAAGAATATATACATATATATATGTATAACTGAATCACTTTGCTGTATATCTGAAACTAACACAACATTGTAAATCAACTGTGCTTCAGAAAAATTGCATTCAAAGACTTAAGTCAAGGAAGTAGTGAGTAGTCCTTTTTATAGTTTTCCCATAAAGTTAGGAATTATTTGTGTATTTACATAGAACAAAATGTAATTTCACTTAAGGGAAAAAATTTTATTCCTTTATTTCTAAATCAAATTAAAAAGCTGAGAAAGAATTCAAGGTTCAACTTTTTTGATATTGCAAGCTATTCCCATTTTTAAAGAAAATGTCACAACTTTCCTATCCTATAGCGGGTTCTCAACGGGAACATAAAAACAGCACGAATCCACCATCACAAATGATGAAACATAAACTGACAGCAAAAGGCTTTACATTATGGTCCGCTGTATTAAAAAAAAAAATCCCTCTGTAATTATAGAAGTGCCACTTAACGTACAGAATCCAAAAAGGCATGATGAGGCAACAAATACCCCTCAGAAGAAACGAACATTTTCAAAAATGTTATTTTGTCCTGTATCAATTGGGTAACGTGGATGCCAGCACACACTGAAACTCTAAGAAATGCAAATACTGCAAATGTGCACAGATGATGACATTAATAACCCTATGGTTTGAGCACCACAGGTAAACATGTGGCTCAACTCCAGGACTACATCCTGCATTCATCTCAAAATGAGGTTTTCATGCTATTCCAGTGGGTAACCCTGGAATATAGTAATCCATTTTCTACACAGTGGCTATGAGAAAAGCCGACTGCGCCTATGTCATGCTTTGTTAGAGGTTCATGATCACATTATCTCATGGTGGACCTGACACTTTTATTCAGTTTACAGTATGTTCTATGTACAGGCAACTTATTTCCTTTGCCAGGGCTGCTGACAACCTTTTCCACACTATATTAATCTTGTTTACTGACTTTATCTTGGTACAAATATCAGAAAACTGAACTTTTTATCTCAGAGAAAGAATAAACAAAGTGTTGACAGAAGCAGAAGCTATTTTCAGGGCTAAAATTGCTTGTTTACCTGCAGCTATACTTATGGAAAAATGTTTAAGTCTTCCTCTGGCTTGAAATACGTAATCTGAAATTTAATAAATGAAGAAATTTCACATATACCCATGTGATAAATTGCCTGATGAAAACAATGCAACTGAATACAACAAAACAGAATTTATAACTAATATATACCACAATACAAATGTAAGCTTTCAATCTAGTCAGAAATAATCATACTATGTATTTCTCAGAAATCATATATAGAAACTATAAGCTCAATTCAATTGCTGTAAATAACTCACAAAAGATTTACAATATCAAATGTAGCTATTTAAATGACTCTACATATTTACCTAGTACATGGCCCTTTTTAAAAAAAAAAAGAGGTGAATATCCTTCACTGTTATTTCAAGTCAATTTTGGTTTTACTTTTAAAGATATGTAAAGAGGCATAATTTAGAACTTTTTAAATGAAATAAAGAAACACTGAGATCCATCCATGATGATCTTAGGGTCAATGACACTGGCCTGCCTCAGGAGTAAGCTATTCTAACAACAGGAATCTTTTGCAACTTTAGTGACTAGACATGCTTACCAAAAATCTGAGGGTAAGATCTTAGTATAGAATTCAGCTTATAGAAATCAGGGCTATACTGGAGTTTCAGTGTTTTTTAAACTTGAAAACATGTATTTAATATGATTGATTATTAGTAGATACTTCAAAGAATTATAAAATGTCAAGAAACATTCTTACAGAATTCTTCCTAAAAATTTATAATTTGGGGTTAATCTTTCTAAAAATAAAATGAAGCAACTTAAAATATCAGGTCAAAGTATTAATTTCTAGTAAATGATTAAGTATGGTGATTATTTTATTCTCCAAAAAATATGCCTTCCAGGTATTACAGAAATGTCTTAGAAAGAAATCACAAATTAAAAAAAAAATCATAACTCTTTAAATATCCCATAAGATATTCATGTTGTAAAAGTTATTTGTTAGAAAAAGTAGATTTTATTTCAAAAGGTCAGATAAAAAACAGGTATTCTGTTCTTCATGAGAAATAGTATCTCCACAATCCAATTCCTGTTATTTGTTAAAACTCTGGAAACAATCTTTTATATAATTAGCCAATATTTACTGATAAGAATCTTAAACATCACACTATATGCCCTGAATTTTTATGATTCATTTGTTAAATATTACTAGGTCAATAGTGACTACAATCCTAAATAAAGTAGGCATATTTCTTTTCAGTATCTATGTTTATTATGCAAATTATTAAATTAAAAAAATAAAGTCAAAGTTAGATAGGAATGAATGGTCTCTGGATAGCATAGTGTTTATGTCAACTTCTGGCCTTACTAGATTGTGAAATAAACTATAATGCTAAAAGATCACATGGATCTCAGTTTTTACTGTTGTTATTTACAATCAAGTTATCAACCTTAGAAAATCAGAAATGTAGTAGTTACTAGACGAAAACTTAATAACAGCTGTACAAGTACCACTATCAAAATTCATAAGGTCAATAAGTACCAATATAAGGGAAATTGAGCCAAATGATTTCAATGACAAAATATCTTTAGCAGTTTTATTAGATACATTAAAAGAAATTTCTTATTTTTTCTATCACTGACTTATCAACACTGATTTTATGACTTTCCTTCAAAGATAGACAGAACAGCTGGTTTTATACCTCATTTTCACTTTGTTATTATTACCAAACCCACTGCATCTCATCCCATTCTTCTATAATTAGATGGCTGAATGAACTACTTCGCATATCAGGTAAACTTACCTGAGACACAACGGTCTTATGAGATTAATAATGAGTTTGTTCAACATGAATGATATCCTACTTATGTTCTCAATGAATAAGATTCCTTCTATAAATTCAGGAGATGTTATGTCTCCATAGAAGCACAAGAAACCATCATCCTTTCTTCTCCGCCTCTAGTAGAGCCATTGTCCTCCAACTTTTCTCTCACTTACAATTATATTTTGCTTTCCAAATGCTATTCTGCTTCAGTGCCTACACTGACAAACACTTAGGGTGGCAGGCTGCCATTCAAAAGAAGGCCTTTCAGTTTTGTGAGAACTGGTCAATCAAATCCACCCGGCCTCCAGGCTACAGCGAGACATTGTCTGAGCCTCCCTGCCAGTTTGTCAAGACCCAGAAGCTTCCTGCTTCTCTAAGGACCATTATTAATTTGACTCAACTTCTCTGAAGAAAGAAACAAGCCTTTAAAGTTTAGAAGGCTCTGCATGAAGGCCCCCCACCCCCGGTACATTCAATAAATGTGTCAGTCAAATATATGTGACAGATACTAAGGAAAACAACTCAACAGCAAGAGGCTTAAAAATAGGACTTTAAACCCTGGGGGTAAGAAGTAAGGAAAGGAAAGCAAAGAGGTGGAAGGAAACTAACTTAACTATAGTTGCTAGTCTATACATTATCTTCATTTAAAAACAAGCCCAAGAAAATCATATTCTAAATGTTTTGCAATAGTTGATTTTAATTAATAGTTGTTAAATGAACGTGTATAATGTCTATCTTTTAATCACATACAGAAGAATGAAGAAAGATTCTCCAGAAGTATTTCAAATGAGGGCACCTGAGTTTACATAAGTGTTCTAAAAATTTGGTACAAGATAGTTGGGAGAATGAATAAAATATTTCATTGTGTCACCTATCCTCATATATAATATTACAGAATGGTCACGATTCACAAAAGGCACAATTTATTTGGGGATGGAAAGCATTCAAGAAAATAACATTAGAATTACTTCTAAAACAACATACAAAAAAGTAGAAATTACTTTTCATGCTTTTCAACATGTCGATTTTCTCATTCCAGAGCCATCCATAGCTCCACACTGAAAGCAAAATTAAAACTAATGAGAAATGCATTTGAAGCCCTCTCTAATCTCATCCCTGCTTTCCACTGTGATCCTTCTCTCCAGCTCCTGATACAGTAGTTGATTGTTCCTTGTTCTAAACCCCAAACTGCTCTGCTTGATACAATTCAACAAATATTTACTAGTTACCTATTGTGTATATAAAATCATGCTTAAATTTACTATATAATGAGTGGTATATGGTTCCCATTCAGTTGGGTGACTTTAGTTGTATCGTTACGTTGATCGTTACATTGATTTAGTTATATTGTTACAAATATTACTAATCTTTTTTATATAATGATAAAGTTCTGTGTTAAGGGACCCCTCTAATTCCAAGGTATTTTTTTTTGTTTGTTTGTTTGTTTTAAAGAAAGAAAGATAAGTAAATAATTCATGTGCTAATGTTTGGGATTTTATAAAATCTAATAACATTACAGAAAGATGTACTAGGTTCTCATCATTATTCATAC